AAATTTGGCTACATTTTAAAATAATTTTTTAGTTTTTGGGATCTAAAAATTATGGGAGTGTATTCAATTGAGATTTTGAGACATATAATTCTCTGAAAGTCTAGATTCAATTAGAAATATTTTAAAGGGTTTTAAAAAGTTGGGGAATTGGAGAGATTTCATGGTGTATTTTAAGCATTCTCAAATATCACCTCTCTCCTTGGGAATTTGAGAGAATTCACTCAAAATTTTACATAGAATCTCTAGAAATCCCTCAAATTTTACATAGAATCTCTAGAAATCCCTAAAATAATTTCATAAAGTTAGTTATCAACCAAGTTATCAAAATAAAAAATGAAATGGTTATCAAATGGTCCATAAGTTCTAAAATCCGAAATATAAAGTGAGATTTTTGTACTCTCATTTTCTTCTTTTGTATTGTTTCTTGCCTTAGGATTGATTAAATAAAAGGAAACTCAATAAACTATAAAATAGTTGGATTACACTTTACGCACAACGATAAAAATATACTCAGAAATGTACATAACAAATACATTATCAACGAGTGACTCACAAATGTAAGCCATTATCATCTCTGATAATTGTCATCACCCATTCAATTCCTAAACGAGGACGCTATTTTCATTCTCCAGCACAAATTCAAGTCTTTCTCCAACCAAGACCAAGAACACTAATCGTCGTCGTCGTCATTATACTCTTCCACTCGCTCCTCGATCGTCTCCAATTTCGGAGAGCTAGAACCCTTCCATGGTAAATCAAGAAGGGACGGTGCAACCTCAATCCAAGGCTTCCTCGTATGCACGAGCTCCTTCGGCATTGCGACCTTGTAACATAACATCATCATAGCTTCTAAGCAAATATGAAGCGAAATCGTAGGTTTTGATGTCGAAGTTTGTATGTTTTTGTGGTGTGGGGAAGATTTTAGCTAAACGGATGCCTCTCTTTCTCCTTTTGGTTTTTAAGGTTGAGAAAGAGAGAGGAGGCTGGGAAGGGATTTCAAGAGATTTGAGAATTGGGGTTTTTGAGTGGATTTAGATTTGAGCGGGTTTGGGGGTTTATATACGTTTGTGTTTTGGTAAAATGGCCATGCTCTTAATTAAACCAAAAGCCCAACTTTAGCAGCAGAATTCTAAATGAGAATCTACAATCCTTTTTTTCTTCCTATTATTCGGGTAGGGACATAAAATCGCCTTCGGCCAAATTGATTCCTAATCATGAATTAGTAGAATTTCGTTTTGACTGCCTTATCTAGAAGGTTCGACCAAAATAAGCGAACTTTTCTATATGAGAAGGTATGTTTTAGGTTGGGAAATGACTTCAAAGCACGTTTTCCGCTCCTTATAAACAACCTTGTTTATTTTTGTTCGTTGATTTTCATTTTACTTGAAATTTGAGAAAGGTCCACTCAATAAAATCAACATATGATTTTCAGAGGTAAGGCTTGATTTTACGTATCGGACACATACGTATCCATGCAAACAAGTATTGTTTCATTATCCAATACTCCGAATCCCACCCAAAAAAACAAAAACGAGATTCTAGTGCAAAGTGCACATTTGAAGAATTACCATACCAAAAACATGAATAATCCAACCATTGTCTGTGGAAGTCTTATCAACTTGGATGCATAACTAGAACTAAAAGGAGAAACCACATTGCCAATGAAAGTCTAATCTAATCAACTTGGATACATAGCTAGACAAAGCACCTTTAGTCTTTTTTTCTGTTGCCGACTGCTCGTTCAACTTGAGTCTCCCAAATCTACAGTCGCAAAATGCATCTTATTAGCAAAATTGTTCAAAGGGAAGATATGTTTTACTGGTGCAAGATACATTCAGCTCTTTTGTTTTTGCAGTTTCTTGAGCTCGTTGTAACTTGCAACCCTTGTAAAGATAGGCATTTCCAAGTTTTCCAAGGCCATTTCAAGGAGGGGAACCTCCATATTGGTATCTGACTCGTAAGATCCCACAAAACCTCCAGTTTTTTCATGAGTTTTCAATTCAATCTATATATTTAAAGATATCAAAGCAAGAGCAAAACCAAGTGAAAACTTATACATATCTGCTAATTATTTATATGGGATTTAACCTTAACATCTCTCTGCATTACTTTTTGCTTTATTAGTAAAACTCCTCCAGCTCCATATGGTAGACCAGGTGCCGGACATAACTCAAGAGAGCGAGAAGGGATCATTCATATCTTTATGGTTTGAATCAATACAAATATGGAGGTTGCCCTCCTTGAAAATGACATTATAAAACATCGAAATAACTCTATCTTTACCAGGGTTGCAACTTACAATGACCTTGAACGAGTTCAAGAAACTGCAAAAACAAAAAAAAAAACAGAATGTATGTGAAGCTGCATTGCATACCTACACCATTAAACATGTCTTCCCCTTGAATCAATTTTACTAATAATATACATTTTGACATTGTAGATTTAGGAGACTCATGTTGAACGAGCAGCCGACAATTTAGGAGACCCATTGTCTTGTGTATTCTCTCAACAGCACTCCAAACATGCTACCAGATGAAAAAATAAAATAAAATAAAAAAACAACATCAAATTAAGGTTATCACATCGTAAGTGGGACAGTCTAAACTAAATTTGAACTTAAAACCGACAAAGGTAACAAGGATTCTAGGTGCGAAATGAACACCACAACACAGTATAAGTACTTCAAAGACATAGACAATGCTTCAAGAGGTGCTTTGCAATACTGTACAAGACAAAGCTTTCAGAAATGAACTTTAATATATACAGTAAATATTTAACAAAAAACAGAAATCATGGAAAAATAGGTAGGGAAATGACAAGTTGCACTTGAACTAATCAATCGTGCAGTGTTTTAGTTTAAAATACAACTGGGGGTGTAGAGAAGAGGGTTTTAAAAAATATGTACGAAAAATCTCAATGAGAGGTTCAAACAAAACATGTGAAAGCACAGTTGACAAAGAACAACACAAAGTAAGACTTAACTACGACTATAGAGGAAGGATCAGTAACTAGAAAATATACCAGATTCTAAATCTTCGATTAAAAAAAGTGAAGGTTCATTTCCTCGACCTACAAAAGCTTTCATATACTCCGACCAAGGTTATGAAAATTCAATAACAGATTGAACACAAAAGGATGATATAGTGAAACACTAGCCCATTTTCTCAGCTCAACTCTCAACTGCCAAACCCAGTTTCATGTTTCATCTCACTTACATCTGCTTTTGCAGCAGCAAACTCTTAAAATATGATTTAATCCAAATAAAACCCACATATGATTTCTTAAGCCGATAAACATTTACCAAAAGTAACATAATTTGCATTCAACAGATGAACATTCATATGGAAATCCAAAATAAAAGCGAATAAATCAAAGCATTATAACTACCAAAACACAAAAGCCAATGTACTTCCGAATCCTAACAACATCATAATCAACATACCCAACATGCTAAAAATGAGATCCAAAATCTTGCAACTCATCTAAATTACCAAACGAGTGATTAACGATCTGACCAATGTACTCAAAATTAATCCCCAAATTATCCGAAATGACATACACTTCAAAACAAAATTTTAATTCAGCTAAAGAAAAAGAAAGAGCCTCACTGCAGCAGCAGCTCAATCGAGAGGGATTTCCACATCGCCATCGGCGATCTCCTGTTGCAAATCCTTGGGGTCCTTGCCGTCGACCGTGCAGCCCACTGAGACGCAGGTGCCTAGAATCTCCTTCACCGTGCCGGCGAGCTCCTTGGCCATGGATCTGTTCCTCATGACCTTGGCGATCTCAATGACGTCATCCAGTGAGATGTTGCCGCTGTGCTTGATGTTCTTGGTTTTCTTGCGATCGCGCTCGGGCTCCTTCAAGGCCTTGATGACAAGCGCCGCCGCAGACGGCACAACCGAAACCTTGGCCTGCCTGTTCTGGACGGTGAGCTTGACGGTGACGCGGAGGCCCTTCCAGTCCTTGGCGGTCTCCTTGGCGATGTCTTCTCCGATCTTCTTTGGGGAGAGACCGAGAGGGCCGATCTTCGGGGCGAGAGAACTGGCGGCTCCTACCTCACCGCCGGTGACTCGGACGTAGACGTCGACGACCTGTGAGGGATCGAACTTTGGCGGCATTGTAGCTGATGGTGGCGAAGGACAGAGAGTGAAAAGCTAGGGTTTCCAACAGAGGCGACAGACGGAGTGTGGGAAATTCTGTGAATTATATGCTAGGGTTTTGCGGGGATGGATATTGTAAACTCTCGGAAATGACCTTGATATTTGCGGAGTTTTACAAAGAGGTTTTTGTGTGCGAATTTGGGCTTTTGCTGCGACGGTTCGAGGATAAATTTGTCTTTAGGATATGGGCCTTCTTTGTTCGTGGTATTTTGTCACAACACTAAGATTTAGTGGTATTTTTTTTTAGTTGATTCATAGAGTCTCTCAACATAAATTCTCACGCGCCTTTGTGTAGGATATCATTGTATCAAAATCATAGCTCGTCAAGCTTATTGAGTCAAAAAACATGTTGCGTTACATTTTGCTATCAGTCATGTTTTCAACCCTAAAGCAACCAAGGAGCAATCAAGTATGTCCTTTGGCTTGAATTGAACCGTGCCGCGAGAAGTCACTTGTTCACTTACTTTAGAGAGGCACATAAAATATGTTCATCAACGTAGTTTGTTCAAAGTCGTAAGTAATGGTTGGAGAAAAAACCAGTTCGAGATTCAAAGTTAAGTGTTTATTCCTAAAGGAAGAAAGTGGAAAGATACTAAGGAGAGGAATATAATCCCTTGATTTTAGTGATCACCAACAATGTATCTTTTGTTCAAAATGTACGACATTAAACAAATGTTACCGTCATGCACAATACTTTTTTTTCAAGTCTATATACGATTTTTTTCAACCTCTAATACAGATAAAGAACTCGCATATATTGTATGAGGGCCAATCAATTTGGCCCACAACTGTTGAAGTCCACAACGCAAACCCCAAATATGTGTTTGCCCTAATGATAAACCCTAATTTCATTTCCCTCCAATAGGCTCTCACTTTACTTCCCTCACTCACTCTATAATCCCTCTCATCGGTAAATTCTCTCTGATTCGTAACTGTCATCCAACCAAAACATGAACGAAGACAATGGGTAATGTTGCTTTCTCTCTCTTCTTCAGCTTTATTGATTGCTTGATGTGATTTTATATTATTATTATTAATCTTCCTCTTGTTGTGAATAACCTGCTGAGTGCAAGAATGCTCCAGATTGATTTCTGGCTTTTGAGTTTTTATATGGATGTTTACACAAAACAAAAAAATAAAAATAAAGTACATGTATGTGTATGGAGGATCGAGAGTTCCTCACATATGCGCGCACACACTCATATAGCAGGCCTTTTCTTTCCTTCTTCTTCCCTTGTTCTTGTTGGTTGCTTCTTACTTGTATTGTCATGTACTGATTTAGGGCTTACAAGAAGCCTTGTCATACTGACAAGGCTGTTAGCATCATCAATGGCAGTGGCTGTCCATCGAAATGGGCAAGTCTTCCAGTAAGCTTTGATGTTCTGGATAAGCTGGTGGAACCCATTGACCATGTTCGTTTTGCTGCCGTTTGCAAGGGCTGGTGTCTTGTTTCGAAAGAGTATAATCAAACAACGGGACGCTGGCGTAAGGTACTTCCCATGCTCATGATCCCTACCAAATCTTCTCAAGAAGAGGATAATAGCGAGACCAACCAATGCATTGTGTACAGTGTTTATGAAGGACACATCTTCAACAATATTCAGCTATCGGTTTGTGATGGTCAAAAGTATTGTGGCTCTAGCCATGGTTGGTTGGCTGTGGTAGATCAAGGACTAGATTACCTTTACGTAACTCTCATGGACCCTTTCAGAAAATATGTGGCGCCCATTAATCTTTCTGGCATTGATTATTATGACTTAAACCCTGATCAAGAAGATAACTACATGACTGAAGATCGGTATATGAATTACCTTCCAAAGGTTATCTTGTCTGCCGATCCATATTTGAAACCGAAGGATTATTGGGTTGTTCTATTTTACCAAACGAATTTGAGGTTGTGTTTCCATAAAGCAGGACAGACATATTGGTCCTGTTGCAAATTTAAGGAAATAACGTGTATTTCTGATGCTGTATTTTATAAGGGCCAGGTATATACAGTTGGAACTCGGGGAAAAATTGTGTTATTCGATATCAAGAGCAAAATTAAGCATCCACGGGTTCCAAAAGCCACACGGCTTACAGGCTCAGTGTTTGAAAGGTCTGCACGTAAGGCATATCTTGTGGAATCAACCGAGGGAGACTTGTGGCATGTTCGAAGAACTGTGAAACGAAAGGAAGGTTGTGATGGAACTTTGACTGATAGCTTCCAGGTTTACAAGGTGGTGTTTGATAAGAAAGACAGATCCATAGTGGAGCAGGTTGAGGTCAAAAGCATTGGAGATGAGGCTTTGTTTGTTGGTGACAATCATTCGATGTCTTTCTTGGCTTCAAACTTTGCTGGGTGCCAGCCTAATTCCATATATTACACATGTGATCTTCTGCATTTTCAACATCCTGAGCGCAGGCCATTTGATATGGCTGTCTACAATTTAGAGAACGAAACCATTACACCATTTTACTCTCTGACTTCTTGGCAGAAAGGCAACCCGCGCGCAGCTTGGATTTGTCCACAGTTTAATGGACTCTGCTAGGCGTAAGCTACTCTTCTATTTGCCTTTCATATTTTGCCGTTGTTACTCTCCGTTCAGCCATTTTGTGATCAACAACCTCAAATTAAGGAAGGGTAACTCTCTTTATCTCGCATCGGAGTTTTATGAGTTTTCATCAGTACTTGATAATTACTCAGTGTACTTTTGTCTATTGGATATTAGCCTTGATCGTTAATCTATTAGGTACGTGCACTTGCAATCTAATTCAGTATTTTCTAATCGTTTGAAGAATTTTGCTGCATTAGAATGTTTTGAAATTTCAGTTGAGCACTCCTCGTTCATCTTGAAATTAAAACTAGAACAAATTTCGGTCTTATTACCGAACCTCACCTTAGTTGAAAGTTTTCTTGGTTGATTTGATGTCATTCCACATAGGACAGACTTTTTTGTACTTTTTTCAATCAAAAAGTGAACTCATCCGCAAGAGTACACACTCACATCAGTGTTAGAAACCTGGTGCTGCTGATTTTCTAGTTGTAAATCTACAACTGTTAGCATGTCTACATAAATATCTGAGATTACAACTATCTCGGCTCTACATTTGTTGCGACTATCTTGATTTCGCAGCTGTTGTCACTACCTTAATTATCTTGGTCTTCCGCGATTATCTTTAGCTTAAATTGGGTTATCGTGTCAAGGAACTTATAGTTCCAGTGATTAAGTGCATTTTGCGCTTACATCCGTAGTTCTTTGTTTAATTTATTCTCCTTGGTCACTACTTGTATCGAAGTCCTTTCAACTCCAAAGGAATCATTTAATTGAATTTTAAAAGAGTCATCTTTCAATGTGGGACATTGGGACTTGATCGTATTGGGGTCATTTCAATTGCCAAAAACATATTCAAAGGAAAATAATTGCGGGTAAAGGAGCTTGGAAGCTATAAGTTACAATTTATTTTATTTTCTTGGCTCTTTGTCATCTTGTAAATATGTCAAAATTATCTACTTTTCTAGGTCATCCCTAAAAGATAAATTTTGTAATTCAATGTTTAAGGGAAAAATATGGTTCATCTATTCATTAGATAATTGTTGAATGACTAAACGATATCATATTTACCGCTTAATTATCTTTACAATCTTTGTTTTTTAGTTTAAATTGAGTTACATTAGCAAATGGCTTATAACTCAAGTAGCTAATAGCAAAATTCGCTCTAATATCCAAGATCAGGAGAAAAGAGAAATAGATTATCTTGATCATTGTGACTCCAAAATGAATCATTTTATAACATTGTTTAAAACAAGTCATTTTTAACGAAGGGGAATTTCCGCATTCATTTTCTTTCTTTGAACGCCTTTGTTTATGTTTGGCCTCTTAATTGTGCACAATGACAATATGAGTGTACGTAAATCATTTACCTTTTTAAGAGTGTTGGGAGCTAATAATATTGGGGTCATTTCAATTGCCAAAAACATAACTTTCAAAGGAAAATAATGGTGCGTAGACAAAAGAACTTCAAAGTTGCAAGTTACAACCCCACTTAAGGAAATCACCCTCCTATCACTCTCAAATAGCATTACCTATCAATCCAAAGGTCCACAACTCACATCAAAACTTTATGCTTATGAAAGTGAAACCCTAGTTGTAAGGCTTATCTCACCCTTTCCCCTTCCATGCCTTTTAGTAGACATAGACTTTCAAACATCTTGTTAACTGATAATATAGCATGACCACACCATCTCATAAGCAAGGTTCTAAAAAACGTTAGACGCTAGTCGGACGGCGAGCAGGGGCCTAGCGCCTAGGCGGGGTCTAGGCAGGTGCCCAGGTGGATTTTATATATATTATAAAATATGAGCATATTTGTAAAATTTTTAGGGTTTTTTATGTTAGTTTTATAACATTGACTCAACCCACATATTTTAATTATTATTGGACTTTGCTTCTTTTCTTGATCAAGATTGGGCTTTGCTTTTCATTTCATAAACAACCTTATTGTTGTGAATAATGTGGATGGCCCACATAAATAATTTGTTACTATTTATGCACAGTATTTTCACTATTTATTTGTGAAAAATTTGAAAAGTGAATAGTGTTCTCTTTGCTTATAAAATGAATGAGAGATGAAGAAGAGAGAAAAGAAAGGAAGAGGAGAGGAGATAATAGAGAGAGTTATTTTTGCACTCCTATTATTTTATATAATGAAAGCACCAATACTGCCCGAGGACATACTCCAGTCACACTGACTGTAGAGGAACCTCGTAAATTTTGTGTCTTGTTTCTTTTATTCCACTGCACACACCATTGATTTTACAACACATTATCAACACGAGAAGCTCTCATGTCAGTGGAAAGCATAACACCATAAATTCGGACAAACAAAGGTACAACAAAACAAGCAAAGGTATGTCCATTTTTCGTCTCTCCCACCGCGCAAGAAGCACCCCACCAAATTTCGGTGAGAATTGAAATTTACAACGACCTGTAGTCATCACGAGATAAGAAAACTTGTACCTGACAACTGGTTTCCAGAGATCCAGAAGAATCTCATCAGACTTGGAAACCTAGATCGCGTCATTTTCGACGAATCTCGAGAACTCCTATGAATACTCGGTTGTCTGAGATGGTGATGGTAGGACTAACTCTACACAGGCCTCCCTCTCTTGTACCTCCATCAACTCCGCTATCATCTATGTCCCTATAGGGAAGTTCTTGCTTTGCGATGCCATGTTCTCTAGGTCATGCAAGAACAACACCAGTCTCTAGTAGCCTTATTGGATTGAATTGGTTATGTGTGACCTCCACAACAACCCAGATGGTCTTGGGTTTGAGACTGGTAAAGACAGAGAACGAAGAAAAAGGAAGGAGAGATTATGGAATGATGTTTTCAGGCACCGTGTGAAAAGGATTGGTAAAGTGGAATTTTTGGTGTATAATACTGACATGCACTAAAAGTTTATGAAATATGTATGGCACCACAAGGACAATAATAATAAAAAAATAAAAAAAAGGAGATGGTGCATCATCAAGTGATAAGGGAAAAGAACTGATGAGCATGAAAAAAAATAAAAAATAAAAAAGGTAAAAGGCAAAGGAATTGTACAACATGTGAGAAAATGTTTTGAAACTTGGTGCCGACAGAAAAAAAAAATTTAATTAACAAATAAAAAGGACAAAAAGAAGTGGCAAAATAAAAGGTTTTAATACTTTTTATTTATGTGAATAGTGTTAACTTAAAACACTTTCACAAGTTTTATTTACTTTAAAGCAATTTATTTATCAGGAACGGTTTTACCGACTACTACTTTAAGTTTTAATTTATGTGAATGGTGTTGAATTAAAGCCCTTATCACAAACTTTATTTACTTAAATGCAATTTATGCATTATGGCTGGAATTACCGCCTATTGCTTTAATTTACGTATTGTACTTATCTTTTGTTACGATGAGTATCTACAGGACCTAAAGTTCCTTGATCAGATCAGAACCTGCAGTTTCTTGATCTTCATCATATAAAATGATTGGACCCGAAGTTCCATCGTACAAAAAGATCGGGCATGAAGTCCCTTGATCCTCAAGATCAGGACATAAAGTTCCTTGATGAGTACAGTAATTTTAAAGTGCCGCAGTGCCTCAACTTAATTGTAATAAAAGTCATAAGAGTCTCAGTCTAGAGACTATTAAATAAGGACCAGAAGTTCCTTATATCCATACTCAAAATGGTTTAGCAGAAATATTTATTAAGCGGATGAAATTGATTACCCGCGCTCTGCTCATGAAAATGAAATTACTAAGCTTCTACATGGGGACATGTCATTTTACATGATGCAATATTAATTCGGTTGAGACCTGTTGCCAACCATCAATATTTCTCAGTACAACTCGTGTTTGGACACCAGCCAAACATTACACATTTACGAGTTTTTGGTTGTGCTATACATGTGCCTGTTGTACTACCATAACATACTAAAATAAGGCATCAATACAAACTGAGAATTTATGTTGAATTTGATTCACCATCTATCATTCAACATTTGAAACCCTTGATTGGGGATATGTTTACTGCGTGGTTTGCGGACTATCATTTTGATAAGACAATTTTCTCACCATTAGGGGGAGAAAATAACATTGTTTCAGAAAAACGATGAGAAAATATCATTCCAAAAGAATGATGAGAAAAGACCGTTCCAGAAGAACGAAGAGAATTTGCCTTATTTGATTCATGAAGCAATCAATATAAAAACGAAGTGAGAATAATTGAATGATGCAACGATATACAAATCAAATGCTAGATGCATTTAATGATGCAACGAAAGTGATGAAATTACATATACTTGCTGCAAATGTGCCTACAAGAATTGATGTCCCTGTTGGACAAAAATAATGATGCAGTAAATAATTTATCTGTTGCAGGCCTAAAGCGTGGCAGACCTTCAGACTCATAAGATTTAGTCATTTGAAAGAAGAAGAATATGATACTACTGAACAATTACATTCCCGAATCATAACTGTTGCATGCCAGAAGCATGACAATCGCCGTGTGGATATATGTCCCAGAAAGGATAATCCGCGGACATGGGAATGTTGATGTCTCATGCATGAAGCATGATAGACGTATAGGTTCCAATGACTCAACTCCCGAAGTGAAGATTAAAATCCAAGCTCTATAACGCTCTAAATGAGCTTTATGACTATCCTAGAAGAGATAGTGTAATGCCCTTGAAGAGGCAATGGATATCCAAAGAAATGAAAAGCTTTTATGCATGCGCATGCACATGAGAATATGGGATCACCGATTGATGATAACCAATAGTAATTTTGGTTTTTATAAGTAGCTACTAAATTCATCAATGAGTTGTGTTGATATTAAGTCACGTTCTTTTTCTGTCAACAAAATTATTGGTCAAAATAGAAAAAAGCAATTCCTTTACAATTTTGTAAGAACGTGGAAAAATAGACTTACATACTTGAATACAATACAAATAGCCAAAAGATGTTGAACCTAGAAGGTTACATATGGGCATTTGTAATACCGTGAAATACACTCACATTATATGACGCAAGGTTATAAATGAGTTCATATGAATGGAGAATTATATACGAAGGGTTGTGAGCCACCCACATCATATCTCCATAAGTAAATCCCTCAAGTATACATAGAAGCAAATTGCTCTGTATAAATCTCAAAGGAAAATGTGTCATGAAATGTAGAAAATCCCTGAAGGATTCAAATTGC